TTGCTGAAAATATGTTGGACTGGTCAGGACAGATTTCAGGTCTCTGCCTTCATGCAGAATTAATGACGCTGCAAGGCAGGTCTAATAATTGCAAAAATTGTTGTCAAGGCAACATTGGTCTCCATGACACCTTGAAATATGACACTGTCAAAGCCAATTTCAATTTACCACTGTGTAAGGAAAAACTATCTTTGTCCCAAATTTATGATATATTTATGAGAGATCACAAAAGCTGCCAGATAAATATGTAACAGCTGTTCAGGCTTTGCTGGATGACAATGATGATTCTTCATTTTATATGAAGAGCTGTTGTCAGCAGAACATTACTAATACCATTTGTGCACGATTTGTCAGTAGCATTGATGCTTGGTATGAGTCAGTCAGCCTCAACCAAGTTGTAAATACAGTTCGCATTTACGTCTTTGGACAAACTAACTTGATCTTCCCCTATACATTTGTATCAAGTTTATTTCCAGGGTAGGGCAGTTCCGTTAGTTCCGGCTCCAACAATATTTTGAATTTAGAATATACTTAGGATTGAAGTGGAAAGGTGTGATAAATAAATATAATAATCATAATTTTGTAAAGGTGTGATTGCACGTAACTCCCAAGGACAGGGCCACATGTATTATATACAGGTGTTTGGAAAGGTGAGGTTTGCACATCTCTGAATCCCTTTCAGTATCTGCCAGTAAGTGACATAACTTCTACGAATGATTGACAACTTTCAACTCTGGGACGCTGATCAACCAATCAGTTGAATCGAGGTTCGTATCATAAAACATTATGAAAATCAGAAGGAAAATCAGGATCATTGCCCTCATCAAGTTTGACAATACTAATAATGTTCACACCTTTTCAATACAATATTTAGTACTTAATATGAACAGATATCAAAACATTGACTCTCCTAAATGTTTAAGTCATCAACAGACAAATGATTCAGAGTTTTCTTCTGGAAGGATGATCTCACACAAAGAGACAGACAAGACCATCAGAGACTTTCAACAATGTTGTATGCAGAGTAAAAGATATGTCTCAATTTTGATTGACAATTTCTTTGTTCATCCTTGTTGTCAAACATCAGTACACCTCCCCATGCTCTAAATGATGATCTAATGACTGCAATCTACCATTACTGTTAACACACAGCCATTGATACCTGCAGTGTCTGCACCATGAAGCCCTGATGTAGTCGAGCAGCTTCTGAAGCACCATCAGCAGGAACCAGCAGAAAACATGGCCACATCATGGAATCTGATTACCAGGCAATTTTAAGACAGACTTAATCTAGTCAGCAGACAAAACAACGACTATTACCCACCGCACATCAAAGGAAATCCTGCAGTCAGGGGATTAGGTCCCCTGTTAAACCTCATGGATAACTTAATGGACTGGACACAGACAACCAGCAGGATGTAAACTGGTATATTTCAGAGAAGCCTTTAGTAGTGTTGTGCCAAAAAGGGAGAACAATGTTACCTGTGTTTGCCATTTAAATAAATGAAATATCAATACACATTAAAAATATAATAACAAACAAAAATCTATCAAACATGGCCTGATGGAAAGCAGAACATGCAGGATACCAGAATCACTCAATCATTAGCTCAGTCAAGCGCCAAATAATGGTAACATTATCACCACATTATGTCGGTGGGATATCAGCAATTAATTATAGTTCTACATGACATGCAAGACAATTATACTCCACATAGGAAACAACCATCAGAACTGACGTTTTTAAATAATCATAGACATTTATTGTGAAATACAAGATATTGTCTGAATGTAAACTACCACAGAGTTAGCATACACATTAATATCCGTTTTCTGTAAATACACCATTTCACCACAGTGTTGCAAGATAATTACAGCCTATAGCACATATATCATATGTGGGTGCTGACATAAATCCACAATAACAGAACTTTCATTCACAAACATAATCACCATCTTAGTATGTCAAAATGGATGTGATTTTACTTTTTCAGTCATCACAGTCATCATGACAGGTCTTTGAAGTCCTGCCATGTAGCTGGAATATTGTTGAGTGCAGCATAAAACTAAACTCACTCACTTTTTGAAAGTCATATTTTTCTTACTGCAGGATACTGGGATTAAAAGAAATCAAAAGAAAGAGTTCAACTCTTTAACTTGAAGTTATGGTTATCGTTACCGTGTTATCAATGTTATAATTTACTATCATTCAAGAGGGATAAACTGTTTTAACACCAAACCAACTTGTAAACACTGTGCATGTACCATCATGCATGTACTAGTAATTGTAGTACACGTGTTATTACACATTTACAGGTTACTGATCATCCTAAATATAAACCCACAGCAAGCTGTTGCTACCACAGCCTGTCTTTCAGATTTAGGACATAGTCTATTTATTGCCACATTGTTTACTATCCCATGACAAGTGTACAATGTGTACAAGTACCATATATCACATGATTGACAGTTACATACGTGTATATGTCCACACGTATCACATGATTGACAGTACTGCCTTGAGTCCTCACACTGTAATGTGAGTCTGTGGTATGTGGAAAAATCTGTTTTCACAGATTGAAATTAATACCACGTTTGTTGTTCACCTTGTGTCAGAACAAGACTAAATTTCTTTAGTCACAGCGAGTGTGACCCAAATCGGGTACGATGTCGATATAAATGTCCCTTTCTGGTGTCATGACACGAACAGCCGACACCGAAATGTAAGTGACTTATGCTCAACACAGCTCTGTGAGGTCAAACAGGGCTAATGGGATTGGGTCGTACTGGGAGGGACAACAGCCATTCAAACACCTTACAACTACACTATCGCAACCTATTTCACACGCTTCTTGTAACAAGCTTGTTGGGGATATTGTCTTATCAGCTTGAGTTTTCTTTTGTGAAAAATATGCAACATTGTTTGTGTAAATAAGCTTGTTAGTGGCCCTGCTATATTGGTGTGGCTGTTGACTGGACAATACAGACAATAATGTGGGGAATTTTGTCAACAACACATTATGTCACAGTAAGATTCAGTCACTCAGGTTTTCTATGTATAGATTCAACAACAAACAATATCACTGTTTATCAATCAAATGATCTATATCTTCTCTATATGATGACGAGATGAGATGTTCATGAGAATGTATTGAGCGAGGGTTTCAAAATCTGTTGGGGGAAAACGCCATCCATTAAAAATGGGAGTTGTCCTGATGTAAAACCCAGCGGCCATTGTGACCATTGGATTCACGTTTTGGTTTGTGCCAAGGACACAGGATATACCAAGATGTAGACAGACTGGGAGTGGTTCAGTACAGCGTGTCATGTCATGTCATGTGACCAGTTCATCTGGTTGTCATGTCATGTCGAGTTCACCTGGTTGTCATGTCCAGCATGTCATGTCAGATCCAGTATGTCCCTGTAGACCATCTGACCACACCCACATGGATTCCGACAGGGGACAGATTGATGTCCTGGTCAAGCCTCCTGTATCTAGTATCTGTCCACTACATGCAGGGGAGTGCCCAGACTGCTGGATGTGCTGGACTGGGGTGGGAGGTGGCAGGGAGGCATGTTGGAAGGTGGTGGGAATGTCAGGTATGTGCCTCCTCATTGTCTAGAGTTGTGAGGAATGTGGTCTGTGATTAGTGTAGCTGGGGGTGTTACAGAAGGAAGTCTCCTCACATCAGGGGGAGAGCCAGCTAAAGTCAGTGGACAGTGATGAGTGTTTAGGGTTCAATAGTACATTGTCTTAAAGATGTATACAAATACAGTATTTGCCAATAGTACCTGAAGGGCACAATACATGAAATAGCAGTTCTGCTATGTCCATGGAAAATAAGATTTTACTTTGCCTTTATTCCGTGTTATGTATAACGCAGGGGGTCATCCATGGACCCCAAGACGACTGACTGTAATTTAGAAAAACATAACTAGACAATTTGCAAAATAATTACTTTTCTAGGAGAGCAGCTTTCTAATATAGAGCCTACACCCTTCAAACACAGTCTAGAGTCTGAAGGTGAAACTGCAGTATACCAGAAAGCAAATTAGTATTTATAGGGATAATTACAGCTGGGTGTTTGGTCAAATGTGCTGCAGTCATAACTGGTCGCCCTTCAACAGCCAATGAATGGAATGTATAAAGCTTCTTATATTTATCTGACATCCATATTTCAGTGTCCAGACACACTTCTCCATTCGATTCTTGTACGTCTGCTGCTCAAATATACAGAAATCCTGTCTGTCATGAACACACCCATTACGACTTGGACTAGCATCCAACAAGACGTTTACAACAGAACTTACTATGCAGTTGTACTACCAATCATTTGTTATTTAAAGAACTCAACTTGATAACTCCGAATAAATCAAGTAGTCTCAGTTTCCACATATCTCACCATGACATTTGAAAGGAGATTAATAATTAACAGGAATCAATGTTTTCTCTTTCAGCTTATCATTTAAGACAAATATTTGTCTATAAGAATCAAGCTTAGTCGTATTAGAAGAAGTAAACATGTACCACATGATCAGTCAGGTTGTATTTGGGTAAACTGAAAACTAGATCAAAATCAGTCGATCACACAACCAAACTACAATAATCAAGCAATTAAATGCTGTTAAAGAAGCAATTATTTTCACCTATGAACAACTCTTTATGCATGACATGGTATTTTCCCACAGGTATTTCAAAGATATCTCTAAATGGCAATCCAACCAACTCATAACCAATTGTCACACCGGATAGCACAACATTGTGCATTCAACATGAGACTGTTCCCAGCAGGAAGCCTATCTCTCAGCTATAGACAACCCCAAACCATGAAGTATCACTCTCACCACAATGCTTGTCAGCAGTTAACACCCCCAGGGTACATAAATATTTACGATCCACACATCATTAGAATTATATTCTGCATACACAGTTCACACCTTGTTCGACTAGAAGGCATCACGAAATAAACATAAGACACGCATGTTTAAACGTTCCTCACCTGCTGCAGCCCAGCTCTCCAGTACAAGCCTCGATCTCTTTATATCACGCTGGATGTTGTCTCCTCCGGAAGTCTTGAACTTGGTATCCAATACCTGAAACATAATATACAAAAGTCTCAGTTCATTTATTCATACACACATTCTTGTGTCCACAAGTTACATAAAACTCAAGATTTGAAATACACAATGAGTTTTAAAGGAAACAGTTTCAAGCTGATTAAGAAATAAGTTGTCATCTGATATGACCAGATTAGGAAGGGCATGTCCAGTACGAGTGCTGGCTAACATCAGCAAACATGAACGACATATTCATAATCCTTCTCTGTAGAGAGATCATGTTCATGTTTCAGATATTATCCGTCAAATATGTGCCCACGACACGATGTATTTAAAACAAATATGGTACCATGATGTAAACTTTGCTGCATAACCAAGAGTATTTGTAGTTGTGGACAAAATGTCCTCCAAGTGATCTTTAAGGAACTAGATTGTCAGTGGTTTATGCTAACATTTGCCTAATGTAAATAGATAGTTCATGTTGCTGACAATCTTTGTAAAGAATGACGGCGGGCAGTATACCAATATGACATGCATCTGGATACCAAAGTAGCAAACTAGACAGACAAAAGGAATCATATTTCAGAGGTTCACTCACTCACTCACTCACTCACTGTACAGACAGATGTACATTCAGCGAAACAACACAAAGTACACAAGTCAAACTTATGTATACTTCTTGTACATATGATCAGAAAATAGCATGTTAAAGTCATTTTATGTCTTGTTACAATCCTGTATCAAACACACCAAGACATATGGGCCTTGTGCTAGAACATAGTATCCCCACACAACAATACTTGCAACAAGCCTGGGATCCCTTCATTTGCCCGGAGAGCGCGACACCTAGAACCCAGGTGATGACTACAGTGTACAGTGAGTGAGCGAGCCATCCCGGGATTCCTCGGCTGGATGATTCACATGTTATTTGAGTAAATCTAATATTTCTGCATATCGACTGCTGCAGATATTAAAAATGTCATGTGTCAGGTAATAATGGGACCACATATTATCCATGGTAAACAATATGTTAGGTCCTGACACTTAGAGCCTCACGCAGTGAAAAACACTGAAAAACAGTCAGCATCTGCTGAAGAACAACAACAAAATTGTGCATCATATATATTGTGGGGCGGTGGGGTAGATTAGTTGTCAAGGAGTTCACTCGTCATGCAGATTCCCCACATGGGTACAATGTGTGAACCATTGCTGATGTCCCCAGCCGTGATATTGCTGAAATATTGCTAAAAGCCGCTTAAAACTAAACTCACTCACTCACTCATTCCATAGCCTGTGTCACAGTCCCTGAACCACATTATTTCCCCTACTTACAGCCCTTTCTTCCAAGCAAAAGCCCACAATTAAGCAAGTCTGGTTTTTCACAGGTTCAGAATCTCCCATCTCAATCGAGTTCCTTTTCAATTGAAATGGAGTATTTGTTTCTTTGCTAATTCTATATTTTGAGAGACTAAGCATGAGTCTCAGTTGTATCGGTACAGCCAGGTATTGTTCACGTCAGCGGACGTCTCCCTGGCAGGTGATACAGAAAGGAGGTCCGTCATCTCCTGGAGGCAGGTGCGACAGAGAACACTCCCGGGTCCCTCTCAGATACCATCTTAGATCATGTCTGTCCTGAACTGTCTCACCTGGGACCCACCTCTCCCAAACATCAAAGGTAATGACAGGTGCCCTCAGGTGTCCACAGGTGTAAATATCTTCCTTTTACTGGTCAGTCTCTCAAAAACTTTACCTCAGAGTTGTGGAATGTTGTGGATTTTTTATCCTATTCACAAATTCCTTTTTTTTTGCTCCTTTGTGAATTGCAGGAATTTGTTTAACCCCTAAGCTGACAGAGGTTGTGGTACTCATTAACTGAACACCTGCTGAAACTGTAAACACCTTTACTAATAAAAAAGGATAGATGAGGCAAAGAGAATAATCGAGGGTTGTGATGGGTGTTTGATGAGCCCAAGGCACCAACAACACTCTCATTATTCCCATAGTAAGTTGCAATGGTCTTACCCATGATCAGCAAACCTGTGGTCAGCAGAATGGACACTGGCAAAATGATTTGAATTGATGTCATACAGTTTCAAAATCAGACAACCTGAACAATTTGGTCTCTCAGTCTCACAAATACTCAATTACCCTATGAGAACAAACTCCTCATCAATAAACCTGAGTTGTTCCAGGAGGTGTGCAGATGGACATGGTACAGTGTCTCCTCTATGCTGTCAATGTGACCTTTCTCTGATGAACTGGTTGTTTTTGTTATGTACATAAGCTGAGTATAAGCCATGAGAGGAATCTGAAACATCACTCTACTCCAATCTTACTCCGGCTTCCCCAGGAATCTGTCCAGGATTAAAACTTGTTAATATTTCACAAGGAATGTGCCTCTCATATGCAGCAGGATTCAGCTGACCTGATGATCACACTGATTCACAGCAAGTTACTAGAAACAGGATTGTATGTCTATTAGAAGGGAAACATATTAAGAATATCATACTGGTGTATATAGTACAGTATACTTGTGCATGCAGAAACATCATACTGATGCATGCAGAACATCATACTGATGCATGCAGAACATCATACTGGTGTATGCAGAACATCATACTGCTGCATGCAGAACATCATACTGGTGTATGCAGAACATCATACTGGTGTATGCAGAACATCATACTGGTGTATGCAGAACATCATACTGCTGCATGCAGAACATCATACTGGTGTATGCAGAACATCATACTGGTGCATGCAGAACATCATACTGGTGCATGCAGAACATCACACACGTGTATGCAGAACATCATACTGGTGTATGCAGAACATCATACGGGTGTATGCAGAACATCACACAGGTGTATGCAGAACATCATACTGGTGTATGCAGAACATCATACTGGTGTATGCAGAACATCATACTGGTGCATGCAGAACATCATACTGGTGCATGCAGAACATCATACTGGTGTATGCAGAACATCATACTGGTGCATGCAGAACATCATACTGGTGCATGCAGAACATCATACTGGTGCATGCAGAACATCATACTGGTGCATGCAGAACATCATACTGGTGCATGCAGAACATACGGGTGTATGTAGAACAGCATACTGGTGTATGCAGAACATCATACTGATGCATGCAGAACATCATACTGGTGTATGCAGAACATCATACTGGTGTATGCAGAACATACGGGTGTGTGTAGAACATCATACTGGTGCATGCAGAACATACGGGTGTATGTAGAACATCATACTGGTGCATGCAGAACATCATACTGGTGTATGCAGAACATCATACTGGTGCATGCAGAACATCATACTGGTGTATGCAGAACATCATACTGGTGCATGCAGAACATCATACTGGTGTATGCAGAACATCATACTGGTGCATGCAGAACATACGGGTGTATGTAGAACAGCATACTAGTGTATGCAGAACATCATACTGGTGTATGCAGAACATCATACTGCTGCATGCAGAACATACCGGTGTATGTAGAACAGCATACACGTGTATGCAGAACATCATACTGGTGCATGCAGAACATCATACTGGTGCATGCAGAACATCATACTGGTGTATGCAGAACATCATACTGGTGCATGCAGAACATCATACTGGTGCATGCAGAACATCATACACGTGTATGCAGAACATCATACTGGTGCATGCAGAACATCATACTGGTGCATGCAGAACATCATATACGTGTATACAGAACATCATACTGGTGTATGCAGAACATCATACGGGTGCATGCAGAACATCATACTGGTGCATGCAGAACATACGGGTGTATGCAGAACATCACACACGTCTATGCAGAACATCATATTGGTGCATGCAGAACATCATACGGGTGCATGCAGAACATCATACGGGTGTATGCAGAACATCATACTGCTGCATGCAGAACATACGGGTGTATGCAGAACATCATACACGTGTATGCAGAACATCATACTGGTGCATGCAGAACATCATACGGGTGTATGCAGAACATCATACTGGTGTATGCAGAACATCATACGGGTGCATGCAGAACATCATACTGGTGTATGCAGAACATCATACTGGTGTATGCAGAACATCATACTGGTGTATGCAGAACATCATACTGGTGTATGCAGAACATCATACGGGTGCATGCAGAACATCATACTGGTGTATGCAGAACATCATACGGGTGTATGATGTCATACATCTGAACTTAATAATAAACCTGGTTGCTATACAGAGTCTAACCACTGTCTCACACACACACACAATTATCCCAGAATCCGTGGTTATTAAATAACATTGCCACTCAGGCACTGAGCAATATATAATTTACCCTTAGCACTTGTATGGAATAATTCATAAACTGATATCACATACTGCGCCATGCAGGTAACAGCTGTTGAAACAATGGCGTACAGCATGACACTGTTTCAGCAGTTTCAGGAAATACATGATTGTGTGTGCTTCACAGATATAAGTCCTTTAGTATGTCTGCTGATATTTTGGTAATGTGAAAGAGTAGGTGTGAGTAGGACGATCCATGAGGAGACCTGCACACCCAGTACCATCTGGTGTTCTCTGCACTGTGTCAGTGTGAACACTGTTGTATACCAGAGTCTGTAACACCAGCTGACAAGTGACCTTTAAATGCTTGCATACATCCTCAGAAAACCAATATCCATTTAACGTTGACATTCTGTGAAGTAGGTGAGAGTGTTCCCGGAGCTTGTGAGACGGTAGTGTTTACCTGGCTCCACCATGAGTCATGCAGCACTACATGGTGACAGAAAGACTAAGGCATACTTAGCACTTTAAAACATCTCGTTTGCCTAAACTAATCATTACTACAGATCAGGCATTTCCTGTGAATTCTGATGAAAAAAGGTAATGTGTTTATCAGCTTTCCATGATAATGTGTCAATCGTACACAAGTTTGGTCGGTTTATTAGTGAGAAACAGTTTCATCACCAGCCAGGTCTACTTAGGGTCCTCTGTCACAAGGGAACTCAACCATA